TATATATATATAAATAAAGTTTTATTATAGGAATCATAGACCATCATAAAAATTTTGGGGAAAACATAGAAAAAGTAGAACAAAGAAAAGAATATCACTTGTATACTCTGGAATAATTTTTGAATAATTTATCTTATGTTGACTTGTTTAAAGATTGAAGAATTATAAATGAATCTCGATCTGATGCATATACTTTTGCCAGGTTAAATTTTTGTTAGGGAATTTATGTATCTACCTATATGGATAAATTCTGTATATTTATTTGTTGTCAGAGCAATATTTAGGTAAAATAAAGTAGATTCCAGTTAGTTTTTGAACCACTGTGTGGAGTTATACTATGACCAGCCCTAACTTCAAAGGAGGAGAGTGAATATCATTGAGTACTGTCAAATAACAGTTCTCATTTTGAAGGATATAATTTTTAGTAATTGGTCATCTAACCATGTCATTTATATATATTTATTTATTTACTGGACATAGTTGTACTTTTGAAAGTTTTCAGTACATAATATACTATATGGTTTCTAATAAATAGTATTAAAATAAAACTAATTAATACGTAGTTTCACTTTCCATAATTATGATACTTGTTTTAAAATTCACAAAAAGAAAAATATGCTAGCATATTAAGAGTCCTATAATTTAAAAATAAAATGTAGTGTGTACATTTGCTTTTAAGTTTAACTATCAGTGACTTTGGAATGTACGTTAGTAAACTTCTCGATGCCTGTTTTCTTTTCTTAGCAACTTAACCATCCAAATGTAATTAAATATTATGCATCATTCATTGAAGATAATGAACTAAACATAGTTTTGGAATTAGCAGATGCTGGTGATCTATCCAGAATGATAAAGGTTAGTTATATTTTTTTATTTTAATTGTCTTAGTTTTATTTTTGTTATAGATTTCTCTCTTAACATGCAGGCATTTAGTTACTTTAAAGCCTTCGATGCAGTGCTTCATATGTGATAAATGATAAGTGTTGATAATGATTGTTAAACTGGTTTACTTCCTAAGTAAGTAGACTAGTGAAGTCTACACTTGTTGTTGTTGTTTGCCGTCGAGTCGGCCCCGACTCAATTTAAATATATGAGCATCCCAAAACCAACTTGGAAATAGGCCAAGATACTTTTCTCCTGTAAGCTAAAATTTTGCAGCATGATTTCTCTGAGCAGACCACCCTTGAGCTATGGCAATAGGGCAGAGAGAGATTGTAAGCAGCTTGGGTGTGATCAATTGGAGGTGAAAGTAGGCATTGCAGTTAGACTTTGAACATCAAACCCTGACTTGACTGCTTAAAAATTAGTTAACTTCTTTTCTGAGGACATAATACTTGGGTTTAAGTTCAACTGCATGTGATTGTCCTTGGGCAAGTTACTTGTGCCTATGCCACATTTTCTCAAAATTGAACTTCATTCTGTTGTTGTAATGATTAGATTAATTAATTATGAAGTGCTTAGAACAATGCCTCACACATTACAAGGCTATGCAATGACAGTTGTTGCTATTATTATTTCTATGTCACATAAAGTACAGGCTCTGCTGTATCAAATTCTCAGGGACCCAGCCTAGTTCGAGAACATCATGTTCCCATTGCGAGGCATGAAGGGACAAAAGGTCTGTTAAGGAACATTCCTGGGTGCTGCCACGCAACATTTTCAACTTCATTCCATTGGCCATAATTTAGTCTCATGAAGATGCCTAACTGCAAATATCTAATGTATCTGGCTGGAATATGTAGTGTTTGTTAAGTGTGCCCAACTGAGCTATTGCTGTGAAAGATGAGTTGAATAAAAAATGGGGCACAACTAGTAATCTCTGCTACACAGAGTTATTATAAGTAGTTTTTTAAAAAACAATGTTAGGTGCTTTATATAAACTATCTTATTTAATCTTCACAATTAGAGAAGATAATTAAAATTACTTAGTAAATGGCAGAACTGGAATTTAAAATTAGATTTGTCTGATACACGCATCATGTATGGTCCTCTAGTGGCCCTTAGAAAATTTTATTTAAATCTTCTTTGAAATTCTCTACTTAACATTATCCCCAGAAAAGTGTTGATGTACACTCAATTTTGCCTTCCATTTCAAAGGGTTCGTAGATTCTCTGATCAAGGAGTTGACAGATTCTCTGGCAGAAGTTATGGGTCCAGTATCAGCCCCTTAAACTCTGTGTCCCTTAACTTCCCTTAGGCTTAGTTTCCCCAGTGCTAACAGAGTGCTTTCTAAATTATAAAAACACTACATAAAAGGAAGGTAATATTTTTATTATCACAGAATACTATCAAGCTGACTATTTGTTTGAAGTCCCTTAGTTACACAGTGAGTCACTTCTAATTAGTTATCTGATTTTCTATTTTAGGGGACTTCCCACCACTAGCCTAAACAGCTAACTACCAATAAAATTCATCTTTGACAATTTAGGAACAATAAAAATTTATAGTCATAGTTTTAAAAAGAAATACAAATACAAAATGCCAAATATGTAAAACAGCCATCTGTCAAGATGAGAGATAAAAAAACAAATTAAATAGTCCTTACGATAGAGAACAACTAATATAAAATTATTTGCCTAAACCTTTAGATATGAGACTTATTTAATTATAGTGGGGAAGAAGGGAGCAAACCATTCTTAGACAAGTATTTGCTGAAGGTAGACTGAAATAAAGAGACAACTTCATTTATACAGTCTTGCCCTTGATTGAGAAGTTGATGATTTGGCGTTTTGATTGCCATCCAGAGTTTCTTCCTCTTGTCTAATTAGTTTTTTTCCTTCTCTACTCCTGCTCCACATATACAAGTTGTTGTGCCTGGCCAGTTGCCAAGGCATGCCTGAGCAAATAACATGTACCTTAGAAGGATATGTCTATCCTTTCACTACTTGAGGCAACTAATGCAAGATCAGAGAGCCTAATAAATAGTAGCCTTGTCACCTCCATCTTCACCAAAGTCAAATTTTTCAGGCCAATGGGAAGGAAGATTTTGGGTGATCTTACATTTATTGCAGTGGTGAACTCAGCTCCATTATTTAAATGGATCCTATCATCGGTTGACATTATCAAGAAACTTTTCTATCAGTTGACCCGGTGACTCTAGTAAATAGATTCAGAATAACAGAATTTTATGCTTGGTAATGAGTAGTAACTTACTGTTGCTATGTTTAAAGTAGAATTGTTAATTATACCCTTGGAGTATCCCTGGGCTTCTGAGTTGTAAAAGAAGGAGCCCTGGTGGTGTAGTGGTTAAACATTTGGCTATTAACCAAAAAGCTGTCTGTTTGAACCCACCAGCTGTTTTGTGGGAACAAGATATGGCAACTGACTTCTGTAAAGATTGCAGCCTTGGAAACAATGTGGGGCAGTTTTACTCTGTCCTGTAGGGTTGCTGAGTCAATTGAGCTTGACTCTTGATAACAATGGGTTTATCATGTATAAGGAATCCCTGGGTGACACAAATGGTTAAGCTCACAGCTAATGTCTTAAAGCTAGTGACCAAAACCCCAGAGGTACCTTACTATAACAACCATGAAAACCCTATATAGTGTGCTCTTTGCAGCACATGGCATTGCCATGAATCAGAATTGACTTGATAGCAACTGGTTTTATGAAGTAAAAGCCTATTAAGGATAAAAAGTTTTGAGTAAAAGATATTAGCTGATTTCTTAAGATCGTGTAGACCTTAATGTTGACTGAAGTGACTCTTCCTTAAAGAATTATTAATAGTACCTCTTTCCTCTCTTATTATAGGTGCATTAATTTGTCTAATCAATAACTTTCTGGGTCAGATTCTCCAGATCCTCTTGAAGCTCCTCTAAAAGTTGAAAGTCATATTGTCAAACCTATAGACATTATAACAATTTCATCATAATAGCCATAACAAAGTTATACCAATTTCCATAGCAAGCAGTTTCACATGAGAAGAATATTTCAAATCCTGGTTGTATTTCTCTATACCTTCTGCAGTGTATTGTAGACCTTACTGAGGACCTAAATTGTATTCAAAGAGAAAAATTTAGCAAGTTAAGAGGATCTGACCTGAAGGATTTTTCTTGTTCCTTCCTCAAGTTGATTTAATCTTCTTAGGGATTGATGTGTTAAGAATAGTACATATAGTTAGGAGTTTTCTATTTAACTTAATAAAGTTAGTGTTTATATTGTTTATCATATAAAATGAAAGGCTCTCTTGCCTTGTATTACTTTTCTCAAGTGGTGAAAATTCTTTGCTCCCTTCATTCCCACCTCCCATAGCTAACCACTGTTAACTTTCATATGCATAAATCTCCCCACTTTATTTTCTGTCTTTACATACATGCATGCATATATAAATATAAAATATATATTAATGCAATATATGTATTCATCATGAGATACATCATAATTTAGTTAACTATTGCTTAATTGATAGACAGCTGAATTATTGCCATTGTTTTACATTCAGACAAACAGAACTTGGTGCAAAACTTTGTTAATATCTATTCAGCTATATCTATATATACTCTGTTACCTATTTCTGTAGCATAGTGGCTAAGACACTTGCCTGCTAACCAGACGGCTGGCGGTTCAAACCCACCAGCCACTCCTCGGAAGGAAGGTTGGGCAATCCTACTTCCGTAGTGATACTGCCTCGGAAACCCAAGGAGGGGTCGCTATGAGTCGGGGCCAACTCGATGGCACATAACAACAACAACAACAACAACCTATTTCTGTTACAGTAGGCTCCTATACATTGCATTGCTGGATTATAGATGTACACATTTTCAATTGTAATTACTACTGCCAAATTATCCTATACAATAGTTATGCCTATTTGTAGCTTTTTAAGTATTTTTATTGTGGTGAAAATGTATACAACAAAACATGTACTAATTCAACAATTTCTACACATATAATTCAGTGACAGTGATCCTTCTTCAAGTTGTACAGCCATTCTTGTCATCCTTTTATAAATTACTTCACCTCCATTAAAATAAATTCAGTGTCCCCTAAGCAAAAACTCCCTCTTCACTCTTCCTCCTATCCCTGATAACCACTAATAATCTTTGATGTCTATCTATGTGCTTATGTCATATACGTGAGATTATACATTATTTGTCCTATTGTGACTGATTTATTTTACTTAGCATAATGTTTTCAACATTCGTCATTTGTGACACTAGCTTTTTTTTTTTTAACCAGCTCTTAGTTTCCTTTCTTCATTTATTGGACACTCAGACCTGGATTGTGTGTCTAGTACATGGTTGATGCCTTCTAGTTTTTATTGTTTAGTAGGAAAAACAGGCAATTATAGAGAACTGCGTAACTGCAGTTGTAATAAGTTACATAAACAGAAAGTGTGGGTTATAATGGAGTTTGTAACAAGGCAACCTAATTTAGACTAGAACTTCTAATGGCAATGGAAGAATGGTAAGCAGGGGTACTGTATGACCTTGATTTAGTTACTTAATTGTAATAATTAACTTGGGAGCTCTGGTAGCATAGTGGCTAAGACACTTGCCTGCTAACCAGACGGCTGGCTGGTGGTTCAAACCCACCAGCCATTCCTCGGAAGGAAGGTTGGGCAATCCTACTTCCGTAGTGATACTGCCTCGGAAACCCAAGGAGGGGTCGCTATGAGTCGGGTTTGACTCGACAGCACATAACAACAACAACAACAATAATTAACTTACAGTTTCCTCAGCCATAAAATAGACTTAATAATAGTCTTGTTATGAGGATTAAGTAATATATGTATGTATGTATAAATATAAGATCCCTAGGTGGCACACATGGTTTGTACTCGACTGCTAACCTAAAAGGTTGGTGGTTCAAACCCATCTAGCAGTACTGGTAATCTGCTTCCGTGAAGATTATAT